TCCTGCCACACCCTGCCCTCCCTGATCCTCAAACCTTGGGGGGTTTTACCCCCATCTCCTTGGCAGCTGGGATGCTCTTGTGTGGTGTTTGTGAGGTCCCCAGGACGAGGTGAGAGGTGAGAATCCAACTCCGTGTTCTCAGAAGGCTGATTTATTATTATATTATATTATATTATATTATATTATATTATATTATATTATATTATATTATATTATATTATATTATGTCGTGTCGTGTCATATCTTATCATATTACTAAAACTATACTAAAGAAAGAGAAAGGATACAGACAGAAAGCTAGAAAAGAATGATGATAAAAACTCATCCCCAGGATGAGGTGAGAGATGAGAATCCGACTCCATGTTCTCAGAAGGCTGATTTATTATTTTATGATACAACATTATATTAAAAAAATGATATACTAAAATGATACTAAACTATAGAGAAAGAATACAGACAGAAGGCTCGAAAAGAATAGGAATTGATAATTTAACTCCAAGTTCTCAGAAGGTTGATTTATTATTTTATTATATTAAAGAATGCTATACTAAAACTATTCTAAAGAAAGAGAAAGGATACAGACAGAAGGCTAGAAAAGAATGAGGAATTGAAAATTTCACTACATGTTCTTAGAAGGCTGATTTATTATTTTATTATATTTAAGAATGCTATACTAAAACTATACTAAACTATAAAGAAAGAATACAGACAGAGGGCTAGAAAAGAATGAGGAATTGAGAATTTGACTCCATGTTCTCAGAAGGCTGATTTATTATTATGTTATGTTATATTTATATTATGTTATATGATATTATATTATGCTGTACTAAAACTATACTAAAGAAAGAGAAAGGATACAGACAGAAGGCTAGGAAAGAATGAGGAATTGAGAATTTGACTCCATGTTCTCAGAAGGCTGATTTATTATTATATCATATTATATTATATTATATTATATTATATTATATTATATTATATTATATTATATTATATTATATTATATTATATTATATTATATTATATTANTATTATATTATATTATATTATATTATATTATATTATATTATATTATATTATATTATATTATATTATATTATATTATATTATGCTATACTAAAACTCTACTAAAGAAAGAGAAAGGATACATCAGAAGGCTTAACAGGAATGGTGATAAAAACTCGTGACTGACTCCTCAGAGTCCAACACAGCTGATGATGATTGGCCATTAAGTAAGAACAATTCACACGTTTGGATAAACAATCTCCGGACCACATTCCGGAGCAGCAAACACAGGAGAAGCTGAATCTTCTCAGCTTCCCAGGAGAACATCCTGGGCAGAGAGGATTTTCCAGAAAAGATCACGGTGACACTCTTGGACCCCGAGACATGGGGAAAGCCGCACCCACCCGTTCATCCGTTCGTCTGTCTGTCTGTCCGCCCATCCACCCCAGCGTGGGAAGGGCGGTTGGAAGGACGGGGTATGGCCCCGGTGACAGCAGCCTGTCGCCGTCTCGCCTGGCTGCCAGAGCTTAGCCCCGGTGTCGGGTCTAAGGTTCACTGCTCCGCGCTGCCTCTCTCACCTTTGGCACCTTGCCGGGGCCGGCGCTTTCGCTTTTGGCCGCTCCCGGCACGGAGGGGCTGCGACACACGCATGTTTGTCACCCTGGCACACGGAGCGGGCACAGCGAGCCTTCGGCAAGGTAAAGGCATCCTCCGCTCGGGAGTTCCCCGCCGGGCAGGGAATCACCCACCCTCTCCAAGGTGCCTTTCCCAGGATGGGAAAGGAACCCTCCCATCCTCTCGGCGCAGCCCCGGCACGGTCCGCAGTGACTCCTGCCCAGGAGGAGAGGTTTTGGGAAGCTCTGTGTGCTACCCCCATCCTCCCAGAGCTGCTGGGTCTCTGGGCAGTCCCGTTTATTGCAGCTTTGCTTCCCTTCGTGGTTAATGATCCTCGTTCCCTTCCCCTTCACTCTGAGGGGAGCTGCTGCTTCTGGGAGATCAGCGCTGTGTAAATCTAATATTTACACATTGTGTCTTTGGAAATCTAATATTTACACATGGTGTCTTTGCAGTTGGGATTGCTGTCTCCCCTGGTAGCCCTGGCTTAAGTGAATTTTCTGAGTGGCCACTCTCTTATTTAAGCCAGAGCTTAAGCAGGTGGGAGGAGGATCCCAAAAGCAGAGGAGAGCTTTGAGCTGGATGCTGCAACTTAACTGGGGAGGTAGGTGCATGACCACTATCTTGTATGTGTTGAGGGGGAAAGGTTAAGTATCTAAATCTGAAAGAACCAGAAATACTGTGTCCAAAACCTGCAGGGTTAAACACTGCAGACTTACACAGTTAAGTGTTGAAGTCCTGTAATTTTTCTGAGGTGCTTAGTAACTTTTGTTCTGGTTCACCCTTGCACCCCTTTGCAGAAACTCAGAAAATGGCTTTAATGATGTCTGGTACCTAGAAAAGCTTATACCAGAGTTAGACATCATTACACTTGAACAACACTGATTTCCCAGGGAGCTAAACAGGATTTTAAATAAGACTTCTCAGGGACTCCATCCCCAAAGGCATGCCTGACTTTTCTTCTATTACTGCTTTCCTTTGGAAATAAAAGGCTTATCCCCTGACAACAAATACACCAGGATCCCTCCAGCCCAGGTGAAAGATGCTGAACACAATTTCCTGGGTGCAGCAATGTTCAATCCTCTGCTAGGAAGTGAGAAATTATTGGTGTTGTGGCTGTTTGGGAACTCACCTTCAGGACAAGTGTAGGATCAAGCAATCCTAACCCTAATACTTGCTGCCAAACACAGCTGCCACAAAATATTAAGCTGTACCTGAAGACTAAATCCCCCAGCAGGGTTTTTACAGCTGATTGAAGAGAAACTGGATCTGAGCAGGTGGAGTTTTCCCTGCCCCTCAGTGTGGCCTCTTGGCACAAGGAGGGGACCTGCACCACCTCAGCTGCTGCTCCCCAAATTGATGATTTTAGATATCTGGATGCTTTCCCCACAGTCCCTCATCCAGGAAATGCAGGGTTTTACTCTGTATTCTGCTTTTCCAACAAAAAAAGAGCCCAAAGCCCCCACCATTTCCCCCTAAATCCTGTTTTCCATCGAATCAGAACAAAGCCACTTGTTTTGCTTCCTTCAGGTGGGAAGGGAGCCTCACCCTCTGCCTCCTAACACGGGGGAAAAAATTGTTTCAAGCGAGCTTTGGCAAAACTCAGTGCAGTAAATCTCAGGTGGGTTTTGTTCCAGCATCAACCCACCTTTCTAAGGGTGAACAGAGAGCAGCAGAGGGAAATGATGAGAAACTGTGTTTAATACAGACAGCCTTGGGTAGTTTTCAAGCAGCTTCCTGTTTCCTTAGAGAGTTTTATGGCTAATCACTGACAATAACTGCCCAGAATGGATGGCAGTCTTGTTTCCAGCCTCCAGAGAGGCCAATGTATGTAATCAATACCTTAAGGAGCACAATCATGCTGTGCCACAGGGCTTATCTTCTTCCTGCTTGAAAAATATGACTAACTAGCTGTTCTGCACAACCTAAAATCCTGCTCTTCATCACAGGGCTGCATGAGCTGGGGGAGATGATGTTGCTTGTGTTTTTTGAGGGGATTAAAGCCTGTCTCACCCAGCAGAAAAACTGCTTGGATCTAAAGACCCAGACCTGGGTTCAGCCAAGGGAACGCTCTTAATGACAAGCCTTAATGAAGAATCAAAGGTCTGGAGCCTGCCAGATTGCAGGGGGAGGACAGGCAAAATAAAGGAGGCACGTGGGATGAGCAGCTCGCAGGAACAAGGGGCTTTTGTCAGGGGAGGGAACTGCAGGGAGCAGGGAACTGCAGGGAGCTGTAGGAAGGGAATTGCAGGAACTGCAGGGAGGGAACTGCAGGAGCTGCAGGAAAGGAATTGCAGAGAGCAGAGAACTGTAGGAACTGCGGGAAGGGGATTGCAGGGAGCTGCAGGGAGCAGAGAATTGCAGGAGCTGCAGGGAGGGAATTGCAGGGAGCAGAGAACTGTAGGAACTGCAGGAAGGGAATTGCAGGGAGCAGAGAATTGCAGGAGCTGCAGGGAGGGAGTTGCAGAAGCTTCAGGGAGCTGCAGGAAGGGAACTGCAGGAACTCCACTGGTGTCTTTGAAAAGGTCCTTCTTGCTTCCACAGCCAAATCCCCGAAGCCCAGGTAAAAATTGCACCAATTCTTCGTCACAAATCTTGCAGATCCCTGCTGTCTGCCCCACCGGGGTTTTATTCCACGTGGAGGGAATGCTCCCCACTCCAGCAGAGCTCAGCCCAGCACCCCGTGCACTTCCCTCTGTCCTTTATAAGCGTCCACATGGGCTGAGTGTTTGTGGAGGAGGAGCTCTGTGAGGAGGAACCAGGGCAGAGCAGGGCAAAGTGTGCTTTGCTGCCCTGCTCGGGCACTTCCCACCCGGCAGTGGCACCTCCCTGGCCCAGGGCTGGGAGCAGGGGACACCCGTGTCACCCGGGAGGGCTCCCACCGACCGAGGCTCTGCAGCAGCTCTCTTCAGTCAGGTTTGAGGCCATCCCCGTTGCTGGGTCCGTGTTTCCTGCCGTCCCTGGGCACGGCAGGGCGGTGTGTCACACTCTGGGGTGGCATGGGGGTGGCACTCCAGGGGCTTGGCTGGTTCTGGGGGTCTTCAGCTTTTGCCACCCGCTTTGTGCGCAGGGCTGCTCACTCCTGAGGCTCTCCTGATGGAACTCCTAGCCGGGATAATAAATGTGGGATATCAGCCTAAGGAGTCCGGGGAAGGAGGTGTCCTGGAGAGCAGCGCACAGCCAGAAGAGTTTCCCTCTGCTGGGAAATTCGTCCAGCTCTTTCCTAAAGGAGATGCACCAATCTACTTGCCTACATCCAAGGAGGCCTCTGGCATCAGGTTTCCTCCTAAACGTCTCCACCTTCTGGTCGTAGCTGACATGCTTTGATGCATTAAATGTGCATCTTACGGTGTTATTAACGATTTTGATTTTATTCCAGCCTATTTCAGAATTTCCGGTCAGGAGCTGCTGCAGGAGGCCGAGCCGATCCTGGGATCGCTCCTTGAGCAGAGCTGGTTTCCTTGCAGGACATGGCACAGCCAGTGACACCGGAGGGACCCCATGTCTCCCACATGTACAAGGTGGTGCTGCTGGGCAGCATGTCCGTGGGCAAGTCCAGCCTGGCCTACAGATACGTGAGGAACGACTTCAGGGAGCTGCTGCCCACCGTGGGATGTGAGTGAGGGGCTCCATGACTCCGGACAAGACACCAAGCCTGGTGTGCTTCCCTGCAGAGGGGTGGGATGCAGGAGAGCTCCTTGCTCCATCCTGCACTGGCACAGACCCACTTTGGTGCAGGTTCACCCAAAAGCCAGATCCTCACGGTGTTCAGAGGGGTCCCAGGATGAGGGGAGAGATGAGAATCTTGACTCCACGCTTCAGAAGGCTGATTTATTATTTTTTTATATATATTATATTAAAATAAAATTATATACCAAAACTATACTGAAAGAATAGAAGAAAAGATTTCATCAGAAGGCCAGCAAGGAAAGGAATGGAATGATAAAATCTTGTGACTGACCAGAGAGTCCGAGCCAGCTGACTGTGATTGGCCATTAATTACAAACAACCACATGAGACCAATCACAGACTCACCTGTTGCATTCCACAGCAGCAGATAATCAATGTTTACATTTTGTTCCTGAGGCCTCTCAGCTTCTCAGGAGAAAAAAAATCCTGGTAAAGGGATTTTTCAGAAAATATCATGGCTACGCTACCCCTTCACGTCTCTGCATTTCCAGGCCACCCAAGCAAAGCCACATCCACATCACACAGCTCTGGCTTTGTGCTGCTTTTCAGAGGCAGGTGAGCAGCAGAATTATGAGTAAACTGTGCAGCCCATCTGCTCTCTGCATGCTGTGCTGCCTTCCCAGCTATTCGGGCGCCCCAGGAGGATCTCTTAGAAAGGTTTGGAATAAAGATCACCTGGTTTCAATTCCTGCAGCACCTAGACTTTATAGAAATTCATTTTATGAGATGCACCTGGGTTTTGCCTTCAGCAGGTACAGAGGCTGTGATCCCACCTCCAGCTGGTGGAGCAAAGTGGAGCTTCTTCTCGTGGACCAGCCATCTGCTCTCTGAGGGAAAGGATGGAGGCTCCCCTCCAGTGGGAGCCCTTTCCATGGATATTCCCATTCACAGCTCTGACCCACCAGTGAGGTGGAGCTATCTCTGTCTGGGGGCATTCTGCAAAGCTCAGAGTTACCAAACATCAAACCTGGGGTCATCCACCCAAATCTGCTGCCAGGAAGGGCCACCTCAGCCTGGTGCCATGGCCACAAGAAGTGGATTCTGTGTGTTATAGCATCATTAATGACCTTCAGGATGGGTTTGTCCTCAGGAAAGGGGATCTGAGCTCCCTGCTCCTGTTCCAAGTGAACACTCACTCTGGATCTTGCCTGCAGGCTCCTTCTTCACACAGATCCTGGAGCTGGACGAGGCCACTGTCAAGTTTGAGATCTGGGACACGGCGGGCCAGGAGAAGTACCAGAGTGTCTGTCACCTCTACTACAGGGATGCCCATGCTGCCCTCATCGTTTATGACATTGCCAACAAGGTAAGGCCCCTGGCAGGACCATGCCACCATGGTTTCTAGTGCCATGAATCCCATCCAAGGGTGATTTATCCCTCAATGTGTTTGAGGGCTGGTGATGTGTTTCCTTGAGAGGGGCAATCAGAACATCCCCACCCTCGCTGGTTTGGTGTGAGACAAAGGGATTAAATCAAAACCTGATCTCTGGGGGGGTTCTGTCTCCATCTCTCCAGGAAACATTCAGCAGAGCAAAGCTGTGGCTGGAGGAACTGGAGAAGAAATTCCTGCCTGACGAAATCGTGGTTGCTCTGGTGGGCAACAAGACAGACCTTGCTGCTGAGAGAGAGGTCACCACTGAGGTGAGTTGTCACAGACACATTTTATGGAAAATGTTTTCTTTGGGATTTTTTTCTCCTGAGAAGCTGAGAGGCCTCAGAAACGAAATGTAAACAATGATTATCTGCTGCTGTGGAATGCAACAGGTGCATCTGTGATTGGTCTCATGTGGTTGTTTCTAATTAATGGCCAATCACAGTCCAGCTGTCTGGACTGTCTCAGTCACAACCCTTTGTTATAATTCTTTTTCTATTCTTAGCTAGCCTTCTGATGAAATCCTTTCTTCTATTCTTTTAGTATAGTTTTAATATAATATATATCATAAAATAATAAATCATCCTTCTGAAACATGGAGTCAACATTCTCATCTCTTCCCTCGTCCTGAGACCCCTGGGAACACCACAGTGAGTGCCTGGGGTTCCCTCACCACCTCTCACAGAAAACACTGGGACACATCCAGGGAAAATTTCCAGGGAAAATCCAAGCATTTAAGAGGTTTTCAGACACCTCTGAAGTGCCTGGCAATGAAATCCACCACAAAACTGACCCAGAGGGGGCAGGGGAATAACTCTGCTCGTTTCTCTTAGGAGGGGGAAGACTTTGCACAGACAAAAGGCCTCCTGTTCATGGAGACATCTGCAAAATCCAACCACCAGGTGAACGATGTCTTCATGGCTGTAGGTGAGTTGTGGGTTGGCTCTGGGTGGGAGCAGAGGCAGGTGAACCCTGAAAGGCTCAGCCCCTTCGTTGTCACTGAGATCTTCCTCCCAGCCAGCCAGCCCTTAAGGCAGAAGGATGGACACATCCATCCCGAGGTATCCCAGTGTCAGGGAGGGTTTTCAGGCCTTCTCCCAGCACCACAAGGTTATTTTGCATTGGTATCCAGTCTGGGAGGGCAATGGTGTGCCCAGCTCAGCTGTTGCTGCAGGATGGTGCCCTGGGGTGGGACACGGGGTGGCCGTGGCATCCCAACCTCTGGCAGGAGAAAAGAGGGGAAAAGGGAGCTCCCTTTTTGCCTTGTTTCCTCCTAGTGCAAGAGCTCCTGAGGAGGGAGAAAGAGAAAGCACCCAGGCCATCCCCACGTGGGAGCCCCACCGTGGACCTGAGGATGAGCGGGACAAGGACGAGGTGCTGCAGGAGCTGAGGATGTGACACTGCACCCAGCCCACCTCCAAAGGGGCACAGACAGAGCTCAGAGCTCTGGGACAGCTCAGAGAGGGGCTCAGAGCTGCAGGAACAGCTCAGCCTGGCCACCCTCCCTCCGAAATCCCACCCAGAGCCCACCCTGGCCTGCTACAAGGGGTTTCTTCAACCCTTTGGCTCCATTCTTAGCCGGGAGATAAAGCACAGGGGTTTCCTCCACCAATCTCCCATTTCCAGATTAAAGCACAACCTGCCAGGAGCACTGCCACCAACCCTGACTGATGCCATCCCCCCACCCCTGGCTGTCACCTCCTCCATCTCCCCTTCCCTCTGGAAAGGGAGGGTTTAATTCCCCAAAGCAAAGATCCCAGTGGTTTTACACCCAGGCTGCAAATAAAGAGAATTTTGCCCTAAAGGTGTGTATTTCTTTCCCCTCCCGTCCTGCAGGTCAGCCTGTAGGGAAGCACAGGAAGCCTGGGGGTGGCAGGGACCAGGGCCAGTGCTTTCCTCACCCCACCCACCCCATTGCAGGGCTCACAGCCCATCCTTGGGGGCAATCACTGAGCCAGAATGGGGCCAAACCCAACGTGTGGTGTCACTGTGCCTTGCATTTACGCTGTGGGAGCTCCCCTTGGCTGGAAGAGGAGCAAAACCCACCTGTGCCCTCTGCAGAGGCAGCAGCACCCACCCTGCCTGCAGGGCAGTGATCCCTGAGGTTTTGGGGCACGGCAGTGGGGTGGACAGAGCATCGCTTCATCTCTAGGAGTTTCTGACCCCACAGAAATGGGGTGGCTGTTTCTGTCCCCAACTCATGGAAATGAAGGTGTCAGGGTCACCCCTGGGAGCTGGCACGCTCAGCAACTACCCCTGGCAAAGGGGAGCCTCTGTGATTATTTTTGGGGTGTTTCTTGGGATGTTCAGGGATAACCATGAGAGGGAAAAGCTGTCACACCGCCAGGGCGGGCAGGAACCCACGGCGCCCATGCAGATGTGGGGGTGAGGTTAGGAACAGAGAGGCTGGCACACGGGGCTGAGCGAGCAGGGATTTTATTGCCAGCCGGGCTCAGGGGCTCGGCTCCAGCCGGGCAGGAGCAGCGCAGCCCCGCAGAGCAGCCCCGGGCCCGCCCAGCGCCCACCGCCGCCCGAAGCGCCCCACGGGCCGGATCCCGCGGCCCGTGTACCACGAGGGATCGATGTCCGGGGCTGCGGGGAAAGCCGAGAGACCCTCAGGGGGCTGGGTGGTGGGGAAGGGGCCTTGCGCCCACCATTGAAGGGGATGGGAGCAGCAGGGAAGGGGGATGAGGAGTATACAGTGGCAGCAGCTCCTCACCCCCCAAATGGAGCTGAGCAGGGGGGTGGTGGGATGGGTCCCTTACTCATGTTCTCCTTACTCCTGATCTCCACGGAGCGCTCCAGGACGCGGCCGTGCGTGGTGGGCAGGCTCAGGCAGAGCAGCAGCAGCCACAGGAGGCAGGCGGCGCCCAGCTTCATCCCCAGCCTCATCCCCAGCACGCTGTGACCTGGCTGTGGAGGCTCCTGAGCCCTGCTGAAGGCTCCGATGTCACTGCAGGAGAGAAGGGATGTGGCTGAGGATCAGCGGCAAAGGGCTTGGTGGGACAGCAGCAGAACAAATCCAGGGGTTTTGCTGGAGCTCTGGGGAAAATATCACCACCAAACATGAGCTGCACAAACCTCGTGGTCATGGAAATAGGATTTGGTCCTAGCCTGGTGCCTTAAGTCAGGCCTGATCTTCTCAGGGACTAAAGCTGTGAGAGCCCAGAGCCCAAGGGATGGGGACCAGCACCAAAATCCAGCTGTGGCTGCAGAGCCATGGATGATGGATGGACGGACGGACGGACGGACGGACGGATGGATGGATGGATGGATGGAGACCACCTCTGCCCCCTTGGCACCCAGCCCTGCCCGCGGCTGCTGCAGTGACAGCCTGGGGACAAACACCCTGTGCCACCCTTCAGGGCACCGAGGCGCTGAGCAGGGCGGGCTGGGCGAGGGGCTGGGTCTCTGCAGCCGCCCAAACCAGGGAGCAGGGCAGGGCAGCCAAGAGGAGGAGCCGGGCGAGGCAGGACACGGCGGGGCTGCTCCATTTCCAGCCACTTTTGCAAGGAAAAGTTCTCAGCGCTCCGTGGAGCTCAGATGTGCTGCAACCACCAACTTGTGAACCTCCCCATCCCCGCCAGCCGGCTGGACAGACGGAGAGGCAAAGCAGACAGACACACGGAGAGGCAAAGCAGGCTCGGCAATCACCGAGAGCATCACGGCAGGCAGAGGGAAGGAGGAAAGCGTCGCTGCCGATCGCACTTACCGGGGCGGCGAGGGCGAGCAGAGGTGTCCGCTCCGTGCCTCTGAGCCGGGGCCGGCGCTCTGAGCCGGGGTCCCCCCGCTCGCTGCTTTTATGGCCGGGCTGCTGCTGATGTCAGAGGCGAACCCCGAGCCGGGGCATCTCCCCTCCCTCGCCGCTCTCCCCTCTCATCGAATCAGCACCGGCATGTCTGTGAGTCAGGAGGGAGCAGCGTTTTAGCTGGAGCTGGCTCAGGGAGGTGCATTGGGGATTTGTTAATTAATGCCCTACCTCCACGCGGGGTTATTCGGGACAAGGGGAAGTTTTCTTCTGCCGTGGTCGGTGTATGCTGCTGCCCTGAACGCTGGAGGGAACAGTGCAATTCCACCGCGGGATTCACACCGGTACCACCACCCCTTCCCCTCCATACCCCCAAAAATTTTTCTTTAGGGAAAGTAGAACACTAAATACAGACACCAGGGGAAGGCGCTGGCAGGAACGGGCTTGTTCCCCAAATCCCCACCTTCCCTGCCCCCCACTCCCACTTTAAACGGATTTTAAAGATTTCTGATGTTTATGCTGCTGATGTGATGCTGGAGGAGCCAGCGTGAGGGTCTGTCCAAGCAGACAGAATGGGACATCCCAAAACAGGGACATCTCTGTGCTGGCAGGACTGTGCAGGCACTGTCACCAGCAGGGAAAGGGCTCTGTCATCTCACCCTTGTGGGGTGGCTTTGCCCTCGGGCAGAGCTCCAAATGGGGCAGTGCCAGCTCCCCTGCCTGAGCACGGTCCGTGCTGGGCACAGCTGGCACACAGGGCACTGCCACGGATGTGCAGCAGAGCAGGGACAGGGCTGCAGAGAGTGGAACCTGCCCCAGCCTGGGCTCCAGCCAGGGCAATCCCCACCCTGGGCTCTGCAGGCCTCTCTCCACCCCAGGGCTGCTGATATTTAATACATGTTTAAAGCTTTAATACTAGTTTAAAGCAGCCCCTTCATGCTGTGGGCTTGTGGTTCTTGTGGCTTCAGCTGCTCAGGGTTTCCATGCAAGTTGGAGCCTTTATTTGAAAGCCAGCTCCTCCTCAGCACCAGCCTGGGTGTCCCCTTTGCCCACCCAGTGCACATTTTCAGGCCCGCCCTTGGCTTCAGTGCTGCTGGTTCAGCTCCTGCCTGCTCCACCTGGCCAGCCTTGAAGCAAAGAGTGCAACAGGATGGGTAAAGAAATTGTTGGAGCTGCTGGAGCAACTCCAGAAGAGGCCATGGAGATGCTCTGAGGGCTGGGAGAGCTGGGGGTGCTCACCTGGAGGAGAGAAAGCTCTGGGGAGACCTTAGAGCCCTTTTCCTGTGCCTAAAAGGGGCTTCAGGAGAGCTGGAGAGGGATTTGGTATAAGGGATGGAGGGACAGGACACAGGGAATGGCTCCCACTGCTAGAGGGCAGGGATGGATGGGATATAGGGAAGGAATTCTTCCCTATGAGGGTGGGGAGGCCCTCAGAAAATTGTGACTGCCCCTGGATCCCTGGAATTGTCCAAGGCCAGGCTGGACAGAGCTTGGAACAACCTGGAAGGCACCCCTGGCCTTGGCAGGGGGTGTGAGATGGGTTTTGAGGTCCCTTCCAAGCCCAGCCATTCTGGGGTTCCAAGGGAAGGGAAGGGAGCCTTCGCTGGAGTGGGCTGAAAAAACAGACACTGGGAGATGGGTGGGTGGTTCTGAACACAGAATTGGCTTTATTGCATGATTTAGTGAACGTTTATTATCATCTCTACACAGGCAAACGGGTCAGGAAACCAGCAAAGAACAAGGTGAGTGGCTACTGAGCGCTGCCTTGGTGGGCACTGCTGAGGTTCCCTGTGGGGATCCCTGCACAGGGTCAGGTGTAGAAGGACTGGAGCCAGGGCTGGAACCAGACAAGCAGAAGATGGGCTGGGGTGAGGGCTGAGCCCTGAGGCCACAAGGGTGGGTGCAAACCCTTTGGTGGAACTCCTTTTTCCCAGCCCAGGAGCTGCCATCCCAGCAGAGCCCAGGCTGGATGCAGTGAAGCTGCAGTGCCTGGGAGCTTCTGCCACAGCAGAGGGTTTGCACTTACCCTGTTGAGCTTCAGGCCACAAGGATTTCATTTTAAATTAAGAAACTGGATTTGTTTCCAGCTGGGGAGCTCAGACTGTGGACTTGCAATACTCTCTGGGATGACCACAGGAGCAATTCCTAGGCAGTTAGCAGCCTCTACTGTTAGCAAAGCCAAACAAATGTGTTACTTGCATAAGAACTCACCCTACTGCTCCTAATTAAAGTGGTTTTAGCTCAGATGCTCAGGAATTGCCTAAAATGATCCAGCCTGGGTGGCCATGGAGGGGAAGCTCAGCATTGGTCTGACGTCCCTGCTCCAGCTGAGAGTGATCCTCCCCACTTTGCCCACTGGGGAGGGAGGGAAGGAGGAGAGTGGGGGCTGTACAGGACAGGGACAGAACAAAAAAACCTCTTCCAAAGTGACCTGCAAGGGAAAGCAACCTCTGCCCATCCTGCTGCTCTGCTCATGGGAATGGGGGTGGTGCTGATCCACTGGGATCAGTGCAGAGCTGAATATTGGAGGCAAACAAACGTCCTGGGGGAGCTGGGGGAGGCTGACACCAAGGGCCCAGGGCTGCTGCAGCCCCCAAAGGGCAGCACAGCCCTGCCCAAGGATGGGGTGGCCCCAAGAGGCCCCACAATGCCATCCCTGGGTGTTTGCATGGCTTGGGGCAAAGAGCAAAAAGCTCACTGGGAGGGGACCAGCACTGCTCTCATCCTGCTTTGCTGCTCAGGGCAGGGAAACAAAGGACATGGCAGGGAATGGGATCAGCATCAGTGTGCGAATCCCAGCACTGGGATGCCTGGATCCCTCTGCTACCTGGGGTACCTGAATCCCTCTTCTACCTGGGGTACCTCAAGGGCATTCCATGCTCACTATCAGCTCCTGTCCCTGTTCTCAGCAGCCTGGAGAGAGCAGGGACAAGCACTGACAGCTTCTGCCAAGGGAGGGCTGTGTCCCTGCCCTGTCCCTGTCCCGAATGTCACACTGA